CCAGCCTGCGCCTTCGTACCCAGAAGCGTCGCCCTGCCCGCGCACCTGCGCGGTTCCCAGCCAGCCGTGCCGGAACCGAGTCCCCGCGCGGCGAGGCGCCCCGGGTTGGGGGGCCCGGAAAGTTGGGGTGGGGGGAGGCAGCTGGGCTAGGCGCAAGCCGGGGTGGGGGTGGGAGGAAAATCGGCCCCGCTTCGGGACTCCCCAGTCCGCCGGGTGCCTGCTAAACGCCTGGCATTGAACTCAACGCTGACAAAGTTAACCGCCCAGTCAACCTGCGCGGCGTGGCTTAGTAAGAGCTAAGACAGCAACCACACGACTCAGATTCCATTTACTAGGTTGCATACTGGCCTTGGTGGGCTGTGGGCAAGTTCAGGGGTTCTCCTTGCCTCGGTTTTCTCATCTGTAAAGTGGGGATATATAATGGCTGCTTGCTCGGGGTTGGGGTTGAGCATCAAATGTGTTCATATAAGTGAGCAGTTTTCAGCAGGTTTTGGGGGAGGTGATAAAACCCCAAAGGGCTGCTTCTCAGATGTTGAGACCCAAACGGCCAGAAGTTCAGCCTCGGTCCTGGTCTTTTTTTGCCAGTGTTAGGGGGCTTAGGAGCAGTTTTTAAATTTTTTTTTTTTTCAACGTTTATTTATTTTTGGGACAGAGAGAGACAGAGCATGAACGGGGGAGGGACAGAGAGAGAGGGAAACACAGAATCGGAAACAGAGGAGCAGTTTTTAAAAACACGCAGGTATTGGGGCGTCTGGGTGGGTCATTTGGGTGCACCTACGACTTGATTTCAGCTCCGGTCGTGATCTCATGGTTTGTGGGATCCAGGCCTGTGTAGGGCTCTTCACTGACTGCACTGAGCCTGCGTGGGACTCTCTCTCTCTCTCTCTCTCTGTCTCTGTCTCTCCCCTCCCCTGTTCACACACGTTGTCTCTGTCCCAAAATGAATAGATAAACCTTAAACCCTGAGATTCTTATTTCTCACATTTCCTGAATCCTGGTTAGGGGCAAGGAGAATGCCTTTGGTTAGAATGTCTCTCACACCCCTTAGCAAAGGAGAGACAGGCCTGAGACCGGAAGACAGGAGCAGGAGATAGGAGCTGGGTAAGTTTCATAACATGGCTTTGTTTTGGGGACTTCAGAGTTTCCATTGAGAGTGTAGAATTACTGTTTATGGCACTTGGCTTTCCATACATGGTGGTGACATAATATTCACTTTAATGTTTTTTAGTATGAAAATGTGCAGAAATACACACAAGGGCATAGACCCTGCATAGATTCATGTAATGTTCATAAATAAGTGCGTTAAAACAGGAGCTGATGTTTTAAAAAATTTTTATAAATCTTTTTAACGTTTATTTATCGTTGAGAGACAAGAGTGTGAGCTGCACGACGGGGGGGAGACACAGAATCCGAAGCAGGCTCCAGGCTCCCAGCTGTCAGCACAGAGCCCGACGCAGGGCTCGAACTCACAAACCGTGAGATCATGACCTGAGCCGAAGTCGGTCGCCTAACCAACCGAGCCACCCAGGCACCCAAAACAGGAGCTGATTTTTAACGAGAAGAATAAGATAAGGGTACAAAGAGTGCCAAGGCAAAGCTCTTGAGTTTGCTAGCAGTGGCTGACGTTTGGCAGGAACCTCCTGGGGACTGGACCCTGCCCCAGCAGGGGACGGTGTGGCCGGAGGAGGTGGGATCTCAGAGCCTGACTGGCCAGCGTCCTCGCGTCGTAGCACGCATCTGCAGCACGCAAATGCCTCCACGCCAGCGCGCCCCAGCCGGCTGTCTCTAGACTCAAGTCTCCTCGCCTGGGTTACTTCTGCATTTGCTTTCTCAGCTGCCCTCCTGGGCCACAGGCACCCACCCGGCACACCAGAGCCAAAGGAATTTTCTAGACCGCTGAAACTCCTCCATGGCCTCCCCAGTGCCTGCAGGAGAAAGACCCAGACCTTTGCAGGGCTGACGTGCCTTCCGCGGTCCGGGGCCCCACAGACTGCTCAGCGCCTCTTCCTAGCACTTTCCTCCCACTTTCCTCTCAGGTCAACATGCACCATTTGCAGCTTCCTGAATATTCATTAAGTAAATATTGAACGCGTTAGTATGCGACACCAGAAAGAGCTCCACAGTGGTGACGTGCAATGCAGGCAGGGTCCAGCCATCTCTCCTGGAGTTCACTGGCTAGTGGGGGAGTTGTGATACAGTGTTCCCAGCAAGGTGGGGTCCTCTCGCCAATGTCTTCATCTGGGGCTCTTATCTGGGTGGTAATTCACATGCCTGTCTCTTTCACCGGACCGTGAGCTCCTCGAGGGAAGCCATCCTATTCTGGTCGGTCTAGTGTCCCCGGTCGCTTGCGTGCGTGGTGCCTAGTAGGTACACAGCAATCCTTGGATGACGATTAAAGCAGCGAGCCTCCGCACCAGGACCCCCGCCCCAGAGCAAGTCAACCTTCAATCAATCATTCGTTCATTCATTTTAAGCGAACAGTTCCATCCGCCCAGTGAATCAGAGTGTGCCAAGCCGCTGATGGTGGAGCAGTTGACTGACAGGGTGAGAGCGCTGCGCTCCAGCAGACTGTGGGACGGCCGACAGCGGAAGGGGACAGCCTGCCTGGCCCCCTGTGGGTTGATGGCCAGAGGAAGTGTCATTTCGACAGGGCCTCCCGGAGTGAAGGCAGGGTTGGGCGTGAGGCTGAAAGAACAGGGAACCTGGAGGACGGAGAGGTGTGACGGGCGCTGTGCGGTTGCTGGGGTGGGGGCCCCCAGCTGGGTGTGGCCCGAGCCTTTGGTCCGGGTGTGTGAGCAGGGAGCCCAGGCAGACAGGAAGCTCCTTCCCTGCCAGCTGTCTTGCCCCTGCTGGCGAACAAAGGGCACGTCGTCTGAGGCAGCGGCTTTTCAAGGTTTTCTGACTGCGACCAGCACGAAGGCACACATTACATCACGACCTGGCACAAAACACAAAATCCGAGCAAGCATTTCACGAGACCGTTTACTACCCGAGACTCACTCTGCTCTTTTCCCATCGTGCTTATCCTCGTCCCCATTATGAAATTCTGAGTCTGACTCACCAAATTAATTTCAAGAGCTACCTGCACTTTGACCTGCGCGTTGAAAACCATCGATCCGAGCGTCCTTCCAAAGGGCCTGGTAGTGGCTGGGAGGCCCTTTTTGATGCACAAAGAATTTAAACGCTCAGCATCCTGAGTCCATTCCACAGCCACTTTCTTTGTTCTTTCTTCCTTTTTTTTTTTTT